CTCATTGTCATGTTCAAGAAACCAATTTGAAATGATTCGAGCTTTGTGACATGGTGCATTATCCTGCTGGAAGTAGCCATCAGAGGATGGGTACATAGTGGTCATAAAGGGATGGACATGGTCAGAAACAATGCTCAAAGCTATCTTTGAAATGAAATTAAAGTGTTTTGGGAGCATATTTAGGGTTTAAACTATAGAAATAAGCATATATTACCATTTTTAGTGACTCTACCAAATATCCGGGAATCCTCCTCATTTGCAATGGGCTCTGGAACGTAACCTCACGAATATATCGTGTGTGTGTGTCTCAATAAATAACAGTAAGAAAATAATGAGTAGTAGTAGTATTACTACTACTAAATAATAATTCCACATATACCATCCACCAACTTATTAACAGAACAAACTGCACTGGACTTTTGGTGTGCTTCCTGGTGTGCTGTGGCTGGGAGTGTGGACAGTCTTTTAGTGGACGCCAGCGTAGCACACAAATGGCTCATTTATCTAGTGTGTATTAACATTTCTTAACATGTAGGATTACCATCAATTTGCTGCGGGGTAAGGACATTGCCCTGCACATCAACCCACGCTTTAATGAGGCTGGCAGGCAGGTGGTGGTGAGGAACCACAGGGTGGATGAGTGCTGGGGCCGGGAGGAGAGAGAGCTGCAGGCCCCCTTCCCATTCACCAGGGGCACGCCCTTTGAGGTGAGTCTGCATGGGATGACATAAACTAGGTAGATTTATGCTAAAATGGGTCTTTGCATTTTTAAGCTCAGAATTCAGTTATTGTGGAAAGTAAAGGGACACAAATGTATAGTTAATATGTGAATACAAAAATCATTCTTGCTTTTGAATTTTCATTCATATACATTTTTAATTTGCATTGCTTGTTTTGTTCAGAAAAATTAACAGGAAATTGAAAGTTTAAAATTACATAAAATGTTTTTTTTGTCAGACATTCTATTTGTTTTAGTGTAATTTCGCACATGCTTTAATTGTCATTTTAGATCAAAATCCTGTGCACTTACAATGAATTCAAGGTTGCAGTGAACAACACACAAGTGTTGGAGTTCAAGCATCGCATACGAGAGCTGAACCAGATCAACCGCATTGACATCTGTGATGACATGACCCTCGCATCCATCAGTGTGGATAACTTGCCCTGAGCCCCATCGCTTTAAGGGGGCCACTAACTTCATTGGCTTTTCCTGTCTCCGGTTCATTAAAGCCTGTGTACTAATATCTACCATTACTGTATGCTTTGTTGTAAATTTTAACATAAATTGCATGACTGTATTAAATTGAGGTATAATTTGCCCTTGTATCTAGGTTTCATATTAAAGAAATTGTGGTCCCCCAGATGTATTGTTGATGTCTGAGTTGATTCCTAACAGAGGCATTTTGAGTGGTTTGCGGGTATTAATAAAAATAACGATCAGTACAATAATAATAATAATAAACTGTGAAGTTTTATTTTCAAGATTGTTAATCAAATTTGGTTTCATCCACGTTATAGTACTTTTCATTATTACAGAAGCAAATTAGAAGAGTGTAATATCTCTTCCAGAACCTTTACCTAGTCATGTACACTTTAAAAATATGACTCCCAGGCCACAGACAGTACTGCCACACCTCCATACAGTTAATAATCACTGTCTGTAGAGTATGATTCATGCATGGCTTTTTCCAGGGTGCCCCCCAGCCTTGTACCATTAAGAGCTGATCTTTATGCTGGAAGATAATCAGTTAGAGGATGGAAGGATATTATGATTATGGATTTTATGCTTCACAATTCTGCTCATTTGTACAGTATAATAATAATTGACACTTTTATTAATCCCCGTGGGGAAATTCTTTTTACGCCTCCCTGAACTTGCTCTTTGTAGAGCAAGCTGTCTGCGAAGGGCCGCCACCTGTAGCGGCGCCCAGGGAGCTGGGGGTTGAGGGTCTTGCTCAAGGACCCGCAGACGTGCTGAGGCTGGGCTTGAACCGGCGATCTTGTGATTACAAGCACACAGGCTTAGCCCACTGAGCAACACGCTTGTATGTTTGTTGTACAGCTGTTCTCCGTTGTGTTTAGAAACTGCAGGAACAGTTTACTAGGAGATTTAATCAACTTCCAAAATAGTACAACACGGCAGAGTTTTTTTGGAACTGAACTTAGAACAAGTTTTATTCAGTCGCCATCTTCCCGTCCGCACCTCGTCTCTTTTTGCCCTGCACCAGGGTCTCCTCCCTCACACCAGGCAATAACATTTAGGCAACTTGCATGAAACTTGTGCTCGGTCCAACAAGCACCAATAACAGTACACCACATACATTTATGAGCAATACTTTCCCATTTGACATAGGTTAATTTATCTATTTTTATGTACCATGCACCACATTCTCTACTCAGAGTTGTTCTGTGAAATCTAGAAATGTTATTTCTTGTGATTCTGGTACAAATAAGATTAATTTTGATTCTGACATTGAAATGCTGCAAACAAATGATTGAAATACCTTGGTAGGATATAAGGATCCAGCAGCGACTACCTGGTGGACAAGCAGGCCATGCTGACTATTTGTATGTGAATACAGTAATATATCTTCATTTAATATGTGAAACTGCACTCAGAGAAATGATCGCAGCTTGTTTCATTAGTGAAAGTACCTGACAACAAAAACAAATTGCTCCAGGGACTGGCTGACCCTACTGTCTCCTCCACGCCATTTTCATGAGGTGGCCTCCTGGGATGCTTCTCCAGCTGTCCTGAAGGAGGTCCCACATATACTGAGCACTTATTGGCCACTTTTCCTTCACTCTCTGGTCAGACTCCTCCAAAACCATTTCTACTCTGTTTAGGTCAGGTGGCCAGGTCATGTGATGTGACACTCTATCACTCTCCTTTGTAGGTGGATTGGTATGTCCAAACTTTTTACTGGTACCCTACACATTTATTTATTTACAGGGATTTTTGTTGTGTGTTTGAAAGTCATTGTGTGGAGCATTCAATTAAGCAACATGATCAGAAGTGAAAAACAAATGTTTTATCATATAGTGATGCTGCATTATAGCCTTACATTTATAATTAATTGATCAACTTGGTGCTGGTGTTTTGTCTATTCTACTGGGGCTCACCTCAGCTAGGTTCAGTGATGTGATGAGAATCTAGTAAATCGGATCAGCAGTGCATAGTGCCCTAAGGGCCCTTTCTCATTAAAGACACCATTCACAGCAGGGCCTCTGGTGACCGTAAGTCCCAAACTCCCACAGAAGCAGTGTCACCCTTATCGCATGCTGTGCATAAGTTATCCTGTGAACAACAGGCTAATCTCCAGCAATGTATATAAAAATCCTAACTAGACAGAAGCTAAATGTCATCTCCTTTTTGGAAACTGACACTGGCCTTTAATGGGAATGTTCCTGATAGTCACTAAATGACTTCCTTTAATTTAATCTCTGTCAAACTCTGTCCCCTAATAAATATGAGAACAGCCAATCAATTTCTCCTTGCGTCTGTAGTCATTACTCAGCAGTTCCTGATCTTGGCATTCATTATATGTGCACCAGCACTTTCAGTCCCCTTTTCTGAACTGGCTTGCTGAGATTCCCACATCATGGAGCACCAGGAGTGGATGGGAAGTAATAAAAGCAGCTTTCCAGATCAAATGGATGGATTCAGAAAGCAGCTGCTAATCATCCAGTTCTTCTTATCCATAACTGGGATTCTGGGAAACGTCATTCTATTTGCATCTATCATCAGAATGAATCACATGAAGACCTTTGAGATCTTCTTGTTTGGACTAGCCACCTCAAACCTGGTGATGCTCATAAATGTGGAGGTTTATGATGTGACGCTCATCTTTTACTCACAGTCATGGTCTTTGCCTTTAAAGCATTGCAGCGCCATGAGGTTTCTCAAGGTTTTCGGGGTGACAGCTTCTATGTACTTCACAGTGCTGATCTGTGTTTTCCGCTACCAGAAGCTTCGGGATGCTGGGACACGCGGACAGATGCCGGTGCCTTTGGACAACATCCTTGTAGCCGGTGCGGCCAGCTGGGTTGGTATGCTGCTGGCTGCCATTCTGGCAGTACCCACTTTTTTCATAGATTTTGACGTGTCCACCTACACTGGCAACGCCAGCTGCTCCATGGATATCTTCCATTGTTTCCAGGGGCCCTGCCCAGTCGCCCATGCCATATATAAGTATGTGTTCCTCCTCATCCTGAATTTCCTGCCCTTCGTCATTGTCACTGGATGTAGCTGCCTTATCCTTCGGATCATTCTGCATCAGCAAAAGCTCATACATGACCATGAACTTGTTGAGGATGTTCATCACCACATGCACCATCATCATCATCATCATCATCATCACAACCTCCACAAGAGCACCATCGCAATCCTGGCTGCTATGGGAATCTGCCAGGTAACATGGACATCATACCTGACTTTGTACTTAGCCTTCGATTCATACACATTCCAGTTTTGGCCTGAAGCTGAATTCTACATCACCACCCTGTATGCCACCATCAGCCCATATGTGTACGGTATTGGAAATAACTTCTTCTCTATTAATCACTGCATTAGGTGAATTTGCTTCTTTTGTGTCAGATAATGAAGACAATTAGATTTGAACCCTTGTTTTGGAGAAACAATTTGCTGTAGTGTAGAGTAATAATGTATAATAATGTCAAGTCATTAATTTGGTCTGGTATATTCAGAAAAAGCTGGCAAATAAATAATGCAATTAGAAAAATTTCAGTTTGTTATTTTTTTTCAGTATTTTGTCATGCTTGATATGCAAATCTATCACGAAGGATTTTTCCTATACAGCTCCACAGAAAACAAGTTTTGCCTTCTTATATGACTTCATTTACAGAAAGATTTCTTCTTTCAGTATTTTTATAATATACTATAGATTAGTAGAAACCAAGTCTAAGTGCAAAACAGAACAGAACATTCAGTAGTGCCAAGTGAAACAATTTCAATGGACAGTCAACCAAAGACAGATAGCTAAGAAGTGTTAAATTCATAGGTTTAACTATATATTTTTAATTAGCTTCATAATGCTATGTTCAGCTTTTATTGGATGTTAATCACATAAACTGTCTCTGATATGTGATTGCATTACTAACAAAATTAAAATTAAATGAAATTAAATTAATTAAATTAAAATAATACTACTCATTAATGTATGCATTTAAAAAATAATTTAATCATGCATGTTGAGCTCATATATCCTATCGCCCAGAGAGCAGCACACTCATTGGCGAGCACTGTGCATCCACCCCCCCTCAGACTCTACTGTATGTATCTGTACCCCTCACCCACGGCTGTCTGTATCTGTGCCCCCCCCTAGTGGGGTGTGTGTATCTGTGCCCGTCCCCCCTCCTGGGCTGCTTGCATCTTCGGTCCCTCCCTCCCGGCTGTGTGTATCTGTTCCCCTCCCCTCAAGTCCATTTATCTGTGCCTCCCCTCCTCCCACACTGTGTGTATTTGTTGTGGCCACTATCCCCCCAGTTGCATATATTTGTGCCCCCCCAAGATCGTGTGTATCTGTGCCCCCCCTCTGGATTGCGTGTACCTGAGCATCCCCCATCGCCCCCACCACCCCCCACCGGCTGCATGTATCTTTCACCCCATCCCCCCAATGCTGTGTGTATCTGTGGCCCCTCCCCCCAGGCTGTGTGTATCTGTCCCCCCAGGCTGTGTGTATCTGTGGACCCTCCCCCTGGGCTGCATGTTTCAGTGCCCCTGCCCACCCTTCCCAGGCTGTGTGTATCTGCGTTTGTATTGAATTACACCCCATTTGCATCCTTCTTAATTACATTTATCCACATCATATTCCACGATAATGCTTATTTTTCTGAGTAAAGTGTAACACAGGATACACAATTTTCCAAAGAAGTGGCTCCCTCTAGTGGTAATGTCCCCACAATGTGATAAAAACCAGTTATGGTTTTGACGTCATGGGAACAATTTTTCAAGTCCCCACAAAGATCTGTGAGTGTAATCCAAAAACTAAAAATGGCTCGTAAAAAAGTCTCGTATTTTGTTTGGTTACTTATGGTTAAGTTTGGGCTGGATAACGGTTAATGTTGTCATGCTGGAATTAAAGTTTTCCCCATAGAAATAAATGGAGAGTATAAGAAAGATATTTATGAAAGATATAATTACAAACCTGGGTGTGTGTGTGTGTGTCTGTCTGTAATTTCCTCCTTGTGTTTCTCTTCTCCCAAGGGAATAGAATAGAATAGAAGTACAGAAATTATATTGTACTTGAGACTTATTTAATACTGGCTAGGATGATATATCAATAGCAGCAGAACTATCCCTTTTCTAGCCATTTTTTTCTTGTTAGGGTCACTGCTGCATGCAGCACTGGGCCAGTTATGCCATCGCAGGGCTAGGGTACACTATGGGGGGCAGCTGTCATACCATCACAGGGCTGTGGTAAATGGACTGCATTTATATAACGCCTTTTTACTCCTATGAGTACTCAAAGCACTTTACAATACATGCCTCACATTCACCCATCCAAACACACATTCATACACTGGAGGTGAAGGCTGCCATGCAAGGCGCCAACCTGCACACCGGGAGAAATTTGGGGTTCAGTGTCTTGCTCAAGGACACTTCGATGGGGTCAGGAAGAACCAGGGCTCGAACCTGCAACCCTCCAGTTGCCGAACGATAGCACTACCTCCTGCACCACCATCTCCCCTGTGGGGTACACTATGGGGGGGCGGCAGTCACGCCGTCACAGGGCCAGGGTACACTGAGGGGGGTGTCACGCCATCACAGGGCCGGAATACACTGTGGGGGGTGTCATGCCGTCACAGGGCTGGGGTACACTTGGGGGGGTGTCACGCCATCACAGGGCCGGAATACACTGTGGGGGGTGTCATGCCGTCACAGGGCTGGGGTACACTGTGGGGGGTGTCACGCCTGATGAGCCTGAAGGCTTTCCTGATTTCCTGAAGAGGGTTGCCTCTATGTCACTGTTGTTTGTGTGCAGTTCAGAGTACCCAGTCTCCTTAGAGACAGTGGAGGAGGTGCTCATTAGGATACTGCCTACGTAATACTAAGAGCCGTCAGCGCTTACATGGGGAATTTTGGAGATACATACTGTACAGAGGTGTGATTGGGAAGAATGTCCTTACAGATCTAATGTGAATTGTTATTGGGCTTCTGAGGATTATTCATAAGAGACACCATGTTTGAACACAAGCATGTCTGTGGTATCATTGAACCCTAGGCCAAAAGTCAACAACAGACTTTTTAATTGGCCATCTGACCTGAGGCTCTGTTTTGGTAAAGAGAGAAGCAGAGCAAAGTTGGATTTGGTGCCTGGGGAGGAAGCCAGATAGACCAGGATGACTCCGGTTAACAGTCAGGGTTTACTGGGAGTGTCTGGCTGAAGCTTCTATGCAAGGTTTATTCAGCTCTCACCTCTAGAAAAACTTTCAGACACTGGCCCTCATTTATCAATCTAACATAAAAACCAGAAATCACCACATGACATTGTTCACATATGTAGGATCACACATGCACATACGACAGAGCTTAGATTCCAGGTGGCCTGAGACAAGGCCTACCCTGGTACGAGAGGGACTCACTGGCCGAGGGGGGTTAGTGATCCCACACACACAAACACACTTAAACATACATACACACACACACACACACACACACACACACACACACAAGTTGGTCTTCCTATCTAAATGGGGACCGTCCATTCATTTCTATGGGAAAAAGCATAATCCCAATCACGACACCCTTAAACTCCTATCCAGCCCTAAACTTAACCATAAGCAACCAACCAAGATACAAGACTTTTGGTATTCACGTGGATGCAGAGGTCTTCTAGAAGAGTCAGACCTGCCATCGCTGAGATTTGATGACTGTCAAGGTACTTGTTTAAATAGGTGACTGAATTTACATGTAAGTAATCACATTGTAAATCGCTTAAACTACCCATACCTTTTAACTACATAATTTAAATTTGTTGTAATTGTAACCAGTAGCCAAAACCTAAAAAGAAACAAGTTTTAATTAGCTTCATAATGCTAACTCCAAAACTGTTAACCCCAGTAATTGCAATCAATTTGAAAAAACCCATTCATGTTATACAGTATATGACATATAGTCAATGCAAGCATTACAAAATATATTTTTCCATAGGCTACATACTTTGAAGTCTGAATATATGATAGATTTGCTATGTTGCATACCAGACCACTATGAATCGAAAACTTACGTACACCAGATGAGACTTGACATGAGATTTGATTATAGCCTCTGTTCACGGCCACATTGATAAATGGCAAGCTTTGCGCGGAAATGACTGTATACCCAATTTTCTGTCATATGTTCGTTTCATAAATGAGGGAAATTGAGTCTGAAAAAACGACCTTCAAGGTCTCAGTTGTTGCAGTGGCTGCAAAGACCTGTGGCCAGAATGCAGTCAGTGCCTGTCATGGTGGTACCTCAAGAACACATTAATGTAATTATTTGAGGGGTGGGAATCTGTCAAGATGAAGAAGGATGCATCTTATTGCCAATGTTCTTTATGATCTTCACTTACTTGATATCAAGGTGCAGATGTGGCTAAAAGGGTGCCCAGTATAAGTGGTGGGAGGTGACATCTTTGCTATATGTAGATGATGACATGCTTTTGGCCTCATCTGACCAGAACCTCCCAAACATGCTTAGGCAGTATCATGCTATTTGTGAAGTGGCAGGGATGAGCATCAGCACATTCAAATTCAATGTTATGGTACTGTCTGGGAAGAAAAGTGAATTGCTCCTTTCAGGTGAGAGTTTGGCCTTAATAAATGATTTTGAGGACCTTGCAATCTTTTTCTTGAATGATGATAAGAGGGAAAATGAGATTGACAGGCGGATTGGTTTGGTTTTATGGTGGCAAGTGCTGACATTTCCTGGTGGGCTGGTCTTTGCTCCCTAACCCCAGAATTATACAGCCGTTAGACCAGGGGTGCCCAACCAGGGGGTTGATCTCGGCATGTTCCCAGGTCAATCACAGGAGATGATTAATGGATTCATTCCACAACCCAAAAATATTCATATGAAAATGATACAAAATATAACGTAAAAATACATAAAACAAATTAACCTGTACTTCACCTTTGAAAAGAATCGTGGCTGGTGTGAGAGAGACGAGAGAGAGGAGAGGAGGAGAGGAAGACGACTTTCAGTTTAACTAACAGAATCACTGCTATCTGTTGGCTCACTGTAATCTTTTTCTTTTTGTGCGGCATTAACAAAGAACCTATTCAATAGGCGTGTAACGATGAATCACGAATCCGTTAAAAATCAATGTAAATGTATGACGATTTAAACCGGCTGATGTGGAAAATGAATCGCTACTTTAGGAGTACTTCATGGTACTTTACTTAACAGGAAAATTGGTGTAATATTACATTTGATTTCACGACATCAGTTCGACGTCAGATGTCACTGCGTATTCACGTCGACCTCATACGTTAGTTTTTTGTTTTGACCGAATGCGAGATGGCGAGCAAATTTGAAATTGATGACACACCCCTCAATCTTAATCACAAACGAAAACGATGAGAAAAGCACAGACAAGACAAAAACTGTGTGCAAACAATGTAAAAGACTGATAACATACACAAATAGCACAACGAACATGCTTCAGCACGTCCACCGGCACCACAGTGAACTCAATTCACCAACGCCAGAGCGAAGATTA